TAGGGAAAATAATTAAAACAAATTAATATTTCCTCAAATATCTAGCTACCATCAACCAGACCGTACACAGGGATCAGAGAAGCCTTAAAAACACAACAAAATTTTTCTATCATGCCTTTAAATTTTCCAATAAAGAAATTTAAGTACCTGCTGGGTATAACCTACCAGCATTACCACTAACTGTGTATGTGTCCGTGCCATTTTACAAAAGCAGTTATTAACAGCCAAGAGGACCAGAAGCAGCAGTCTGACAGAAGGTCACAGTTATTTTAAATTTCACCCGTTTGCACTTCAAGATTACAAAGTGCAAGCACATAGACAAGTTTGGTGGGAACTTGTGTTAGGTATTGGACAGTAATGATGAGAGCACCCTCTTGCCCTAAAGATAGTGCTGTGTGATTTGCTCTTCAGTGTAAAATGTAAGATGCTTTGCTTCTGTCTCTGCATACAAGTGTGAATGTGGGCAGGTGCTACACAGAAAGTGGTATCTGCAAATTCCCATCACAACTCACTTGGCAGAACTAGTGCAAGCTACTTATAGCAGCTAATGAGTCTTCACTGGAGGACTCACAGGGTGAGTCTTCATTGTAGATGACCAATTGCAGCAGATGGACTTTTTCCTCGTATTATCCCCTACTTTCCTAAGGGTATCTTGAAGTCGTCGGTTGAATCACAGGTATACATAACAAATACTGGGGAAAATGTATTGAAAACCACAAAACCTGCCTTCATTTTCTTGGCTGACACCTGGAAGGGATTTGTTCAAAATTCTACATTCCTCTGTTATAGTGATGTCATCAACAGCAACAGTAGCATTAGTTGTTACAATGGCAGCTTGTAAAATAATCTGTAACGAAAAATAAATAAATTAGCTGATTAAAGGTAACATGATAAAGAGACATACATTCTTTTACAATTTGTGACATTTGCTCAAGAAGTAAATACTACCTACAACCAACTCCAAATACCAGCCAGCAAAAATGACAATTGAGATTTGATCAAAGTCAGAAATTTACTCCTCAATTGTCAAAGCCATGACTACCTTTACTTCTGGAAAGTTATGCAACCCAGATGATCTTGCTTCAATCTAAACTGGTAAAAGCCATCACTAATTGAATGAATTGTCTTCCTGCTGGAATCATTAAAAGTTATACACCTTTTTAAATGAGCTATCCAGGGTTACCAAACACGATGATTTACAACTGTTTAATCGTATTAGTTAATTCGTATTCGCCTGCTGAAGTCAAAGTGATACAGTAAACACAGGGACTGTAAGGATGCATTTATAAATACAAGGAAATATTCAGTAGATCATATAAGGAAGTTCAGTCATAACTTACCAATAATAAGATTTGAGTGCCCTTTCTTTTAGACCACTTTTAGACGAGACAAAATGAAGAGACCAAAACTGGAATTCTGATTTGTTGAATCCTTATATTTGAGTTGCTGATTCCCCTAACATTTCCTTTCTAAGTTTAGTAAAGTGTAGCAGCCTGAGATTATGTAAAAATAAATTTAAACTTGAAAACTGCTAACTGTTTCTGTGATCAATGCTGCAAATTGAAGTATCTGCAATTCCGCTTTCAGCCAACACAGTTAGGTCCTCACTCTGATCAGCAGTTTTTATAGCAAGTTAATTTTTCGAAAGCTACTGCACTATTGCTACTTGATTTTTATTACAGAAAGATGATTTGAGTGCATACAATACTGAAACAATTGGGATGTTTTTTAACAGCTATATCTTTTGAAAGAGCTGAATGGAATTTTTTTTTTTATATGAGCATTAAAGAACAGAACTTGTCTATTATGAGAACTTCATTATGAAAGTAAATTAATTCTAAAGGCCAGATTAGAGTAACTTTTGGAAAGCAACATAAATGTAATTCTAATTACCTGAAAAGGTAAGTCTTCAGCTACGCTTTCTACAGGTATATTCACTTTTTTCCACCGCATCTCAGGCAATCCTGAAATGTCATACAATTTTTCCAAACTTCCTTCTGGTGCAGTCCTCTTAAAAATAGAAAGCTGGGAATCTTGAGATAACTGGTACCAAAATCTGACCTGTTGAGAGAGTTTTTAATCAAACACAAAAGATATTATTCTTCAATGATTTCACTACCAACTCATATACCTAAATTATAACACAGAAAGACATGACAGGTCTAAACACAGCCTTGGCATAAAAGAAAGATGTGTGAATCTATGGCATGTTGACGAGCAGCATTATGTCCAAAGATAAAACCATAATTAAAAGTAAAGCATATTTTTAGAACTTACACTTAACTTGTATCTGTCATCTGATGTAGAACAATTGATATGACCTCCCTTAACTCTTTTTAGCTTAGTAAAGACTTAGAAACTTTTTCAAATATTATTTTTCTTTGCAAGTGCTGAATACAGGACAGCTTCATAAGTATGGTAGTTCAGTGGTTACTGGTGGAAATATCCTTGCTACAACACACTGTTAATTTTTTAATATCTTCTGGCTTCATGGCTGGTGGACTTGGTCTCTCAGTTTCCCATGGTGTTGCTTTTTTGTCCATTAGTGAAAATCAGGTATTACAAAAAATAATCTTAAGACTTACGAATACATTGAAATACTTTCATGTAACTTATTTTTCCCCCACCAGAAAGGTTAAGGGACACAAAGCAACAGGTATACTGACACTTTTCAAAACGAGATGCTTGAAGAAATACACCCTAAAAAAATCTAGATGTAAGGCTTATATTTATCAAACATCTTTTTAAACAAATTATTTTTTTCTGTTTTCATTACATAAGAGATCAAACACCCTCACTCTCTATGTCTGCGTGTTCTACTTTATAATGACTACTGAGTCCATTAAAAAGCCATAAACAGACAGCTGTGACTAAAAATTTTCTTCTACAACTCCAAAAACTTGTGCTAAATAAAGATGTTTCTTAGCTGACATCTACAGAAAGACTCAGCTACAAGAAGCTGCAGAAAGAAGTTACTTAAAAACTTCAATTAGCTAGTAAGGCACAATGTAAAACTTCTATCCCTTGACTCCAATTTTCTTTCTGTTTTCTTTTTTTCTTTTTTTTTTTTTAAACAACTGGAGCCAAAGAACTTGTAAAGCTATTAATAAACACAGATCTCTTTATGTAGATCCTTTTATCCTCTCAGTAGGACGTCCAACAGAGGGCAACATCTCACATTTGTACACAGAGAGCATAACACACCAATACACATCCTAATGAGCAACCCCTACTCCTTGCTCTTTTGCAGAAATAAAAGTCTGCAGAGAAAATGTGGCAGAAAGCCAGGCTTCCAGTCTTCAAAACACTCTTTTTCAGACATCTATAGGTGGATAAGAACTTGTCCTAGTTTTTGATGACTCTGGGAACTTCAAAGACATTCAATATGTGTGTACTCAAAATTTTAAAAAGTTTATTTTCTGACTTTGAACTAGAGAAACGTGTGTGCATCCCTGCTGTGTTTGTATTTATTTTGAACACAGACCAAACCCTGCAATAGATCTAACCAGAATAATTCATTGATTCACCTACCAGTTGTGCTCAGTTCACCTTAGGGGATTCTAAAATATGTTAATCTGAACTTGGAAGGTGCTTATCTACACAGTATCAAAATCTGCAAAATAGATGACAAACTTCCTGAACAAATACACTGTGCCTACAAAAGCTGTTGTTATCCCAGGAGCAATGCAATATGCAGGGCTTTGATGGGGTGCTGCAAGGCCTTCTGTGTTGCCTGCAGCAGTATTTTGACTGATTTCATGCTGTATCTATTTTATTTCCGATTCTTTACAATACTAACAAGCCACGTGAAGACTAAGAACTGAGGAAGTGCATTAAATAACAACAAGATGCTGTTCTTAAATTGTTAAAGAAGCTTCTACTCAGCTGCAAGTTACAACTATTGATCTGGTAACTCAGTGATGTGCACAATGTAAATCAGCCATAGTAAAACAACTAATTAAGCCAACACTTGTTTCAGGTCCCTTACACTAGAAAAAAAGTAAGAAGCCCAAGTCCTGCTGGAATAAAATTCTGCTATTTGCTGGGCCTTCTAAATGCAGTTCCTCTACACGTTGTTTCCTGACATTTTTATTTCTGAAAAAAAGTTTTCCTAAGTGAAATTACAGTTTCTGTTTTACTTTGAGTCTGAAAAATTAAGCAACTAGTCTAAATTTTATTGTTTTTCTCTAAAGCCTCTTTTTCCCATCGAACATAATAAAATTATTTTGGCAAGCTTTCCCTATCTTTTTCTTTTCTTCTCTGTGACTTCTTAGATTAGGAGGCATTATGCAGCAGCAGAAAAAATATTACACCATATCTACACAACTTAGCTTCTCCCCAGTACGGCATAAGCTTTGAAAAGTTATGGAGTAGAAATTTTAAAAGCCTCAAAAAGAAAGAAAAAACTTACAAAACTGTAAAGCATCTATTCACTTTATTCAGTAGTCAAAAGGATAAACAAAGTTAGGAATGTTTTCTTGTATTATGTTCTTTAATGATATAATTATATATAAAGTATTTCTTCAAGTTCAGTTTTAAAAATTCATATTTTGTTGAAAATTCCAGCATTCTAGTTATAAAACTGTATTTTCATTTTTCATTTAAGGTTTTTCTATTTTTTTAGCCCTCCTGACTTATTTTTTCCAGGTAGCTTTCTAGTTTCTGAGATCAACCACCATCCTGGCTGGTTGTTTTTGCATTCCTCTACAGAGGACACACTCTGAAGTACTGGGTTGATCAACACAAAAAACATCCTTCTCAAACCATCAATTACAATTTAGAATGTGTCTGGAGCATAGTAGCTAATTCTGCGTCACACCAATGTAGTTAATCTATGTAGTGAGTTCAGACCACAGGTCACCTGTTCCGGGATGTTGGATGTGTGAACACTGCCTGTCTACAGACGGCAGCGTGACTCTGTTGCCAGCCTTGCTTGAAAGGCAGCTGCTTTGGCTGCAAATTGATATGGCCCTGGTGTTGCTGTCCAGATATGTTTGTCACAGTATGCAAAAACCTGAAGCAGAGCCTTATATCTGAGTCACCTGGTGGATGCTTTAGAATGAATAACAATCAGACATAAAAACTTGGCAGTAAAGCAGTAAAAGGCCTGCTGCATCTCCCTCATCCCAAAGAATTAGTCTGCAGCTCCTTCCCCTGGGATTAAAATGGAGCCAGTTTTTCTGCAGCAAGACTCACACTAGGAAGAATACCATATCTGCACGTCAGGTGAGTGACAGTTTACAATGGTGGGGACAGTTAATATCAAACCATTACCTGACAGCAGGAGGGCCCCGGGAACAGGCTGATGAGGAAAGGGCTCCCCAGACGAGACACGGCCATCTTCGCGTTCATCTGATATGAGCCACTGAAGTAAATGAATGCTCCTGTAAACAAAAATCAAAGAAATTTGAGAAATATGTCATGCTCCAATGGCAAATAGCTACCTCAGAGAGATAACTATGTGCTCCACGAGGCACATAAAGCTTATTTATAAATGTAAACAAATGAAACAGCTTTGCCGTCAGTTCGGTCTCTGTGGATAATGAGGAGGATGTTGTAACAGGCTGCAGCGACCACGGTCTGTGTAGGCAAAGACAAAATAGAACTGCTAAACACTCCTGCCTCTTTCCTCCACAGCAAAATTAACACGACCGAGTCAAAAGAGAGGTAAGGAAAAAGGGGTAGTTGGGCAGCCATTGCTAGGGCCACCCTGTCATCGTGCCTGCAAGCACCTGAACCCGAGGAAGTAAATGCAGAACACTGCAAAGGGCAGTCAGATGCTGCTTCTGCGGGGGCTTTACTGTGCAGACTCACTGGATGTATTTTGTTACCTGACCTATTCAGGCAAAAAGCTTAAGATCTCCCTTCTCCAAACACTACAACTACTTCCCATCACCTTTGCGTGGTGCCCATCTGCTCTCTGCCCAGGCTGAGGAGAGCGAAGGGATTGCAGGAGCTGCAGCACGGAGCACCTGGAGATCAAACAGCACAGACCTCAGCTGGGATCCCTAAAGGACACATTTTAATTGGCTTAAATAATGTTTCAAACTGAATTTAGAACAAAAATTTATTTCCTTTAGGGTACAGTATTCACTCTCAGTGCAGCCAAGCCAGTTTTAAGCGTGCTAACAATGTTGCAGACCATGGGAGCCAATGGAATAAGCTATATTTTCTCATGGAGTCCACAGACTTGACATTGTTGTCTGTGCTAGTGGGGATGAAAGCTTAATTAAAGATCTAATCTGGACTCTGGCAAACGAACTGCCTTTGGATTTGAACTACAGCAGATGTGCTTCAGACAAAGGTAGGAAAGGATAAACATCTTTAAGGGGCCCTAAAGCAGCATATTTTGAATGCCGTCAGTGCTGCCTTTGCTGAATACTGAGACTTTTTCATGAAAGTCCATGCAAAACAACACTAAAGGCTCAGTCTTGTTTGCGCATTGATATTACACATATTGCCTTACATCTTGGAAAATCAGCTATTGTGCTGCCACAGTCATACTCCTTAGCCATTTATTTCCCATGGATACATAATGAAGCAGAGGGTTAGGTCCAGCCCCATGTGAATAATCGCATCACTTTAGCAAGGCTGGCACAAAGAGGTGACCGTTACAGCTCCTTGTACAAACAGGCATGCTGCGCTCCACAGCGTGAGGGAAGCTCCCCTCATTGGAATGCAAGGGTACTTCAAAAGATCCTCTTTTAATTTGCAGCTGAGGCTCCACAGTAGCCTTGTTAAGATCTTCATTAATCAAAATTTGCTGCTGCCCTCCCCAGGAGAGAAAAGAGAGAAACACCCTGTGGTAGCACAAGCAACTGTTGCTACCTGAAGAACCTTGATTTAGTATTAGCAAAAACTTGCTCAAATTCTGGAAGCCTAATTCTGAAGCCATGATGCGGCTGTAGCAGGCACAGTGTTAGATGGGTGCAAAACCACTTCAGAAAGACCTTTGCACTTACATATGGGGAACGCATCATTACTGGGCTTGAGAGGTGCTGCATGGTAACCTCAAGATCTGCTTGAGGCTTCAACCTGCAGCAACATATTAAGATGTGAACTTAACTTGTAATGATTTAGGTGTCAAAGCAGCTTAACTGCAGCAGCACATAGTTCCATATGGCCCTATTTAACATGCTGCTTAGGCTGCAGCGCAGATGTTTCTACCAGCAGCCTTCATTATGACCACATTTCACCTCAGATCTCACCAGCACCTAGAATAACCCACATGGGAAAGACACAAGCATAGTGAGTGTTTGGAAGCTGTGATGCAATAATGCTTGCAGGCAATGCAGTAATGCAGAACCAGTGCCATTCTAGAGAGAAAATAAAATATCAAATACCTGCTGAGAAAGTGAATAGAATAGCAACTTTGGTGCAGTTCACCAGTTGGGGGTCAATGGAAAAAAAAAAAAAGGCATGTGGTTGTGCAGTTAGAGTTATTATATACCATGCTGTCCTGGGTTAAGCTGAGACAGAGTTCACTTTCTTCATAACAGCTAGCAAGAGACTGTGTTTACGATTTGTGCTCAGAAGAAAGCTGATAAAAAGTGATGTTTACGCCACTGCCAAGGTCTTTCCGCTTCTCTGGCTGTCTGCAAACAGAAGAAGCTGGGAGGGAGCACAACCCCAGTTAGTAGCCCAGGATTTGATCTTAGGTTTGGAATTGAGACCCAAAGTGGCCAATAATCTATTCCATAACATATACGTCATGCCCAGTATATAGGTGAGGACCCTCTGGAAGATCATCTCTTTTTGGTTCCGGAGCTCTTTTGCTCCGGGTCATCTCGCTCCAGGTGGTCGCTCTCCCAAGGCCTTC